ATTACTAATGTCCTCAAAGTCAAAAGGGGTTAGTTTAATGAGAAACAATAACAAACTCGTCCGAACTCGCTACTCGCCCCGGCGAATGTTCATGACATTCGCGGCAGTTCGCGGAACCATTCGACCCGTTCGCTTCGAGTCGACGACTGCCCTTTTTTCGAATTCGACTTCTGCCGATGTCGACGATTGAACTCCGCTCGTTGGTTAGGGTTAAAAAACAAACCTCATAATATTGGAGACGGCGAAGGACTAGGAAACAGTATTGTTTTGAGAAGGGTAATCTGGACTGGTCTTAATTGCGGAGCATTCGGAAGGGAAAGGAAGAGGGTTATTTTTTTCTGCAGTGATCTGGGATAAAGATGCGATCACAGAATTCAAACTTCAAAAAAGTTATCTAATTGCCGTCAGACGCCACAAACTTACGCAGTTACTTTTTTGTCGCAAAGAAAACCCGTTCAATGCGATTATCATCACCCATTTATTATTATCACAGAGGGTCATTTATTACGAGAGAGATAGCTTCGGAAAGTTTCTTTTCGTTGCAGCTATTAATTTTTCTTTAACGATAAAATAGTGTTGTAATCTTCGTAACATCTGGAGTTTACTTCTTTCATGACTCCATCCCTCAAATTTTGGATGATTTCGATTATATCTCAAACCTTTAGTATCGTCTATAGTGAGTTTTTTGCTTTTTTAAACTCCAAAAACACAAACTGAAGTCTATATTTATCCACGAAACACAAGCAAAACATTACTAATGATACAATGAACATTTGAGCTAAAACGATTGTAGAGGAAGTGGCAAGCTCTTAAAATTCTTTATCTCCTTCCCTTGTTTTATTTTAGAGGAAGATATTTATCCCCTGACGCAAAATAGAGGCAACCTACAGACGAACAGAATTTGAAACAGTAGGGCAAGCAACCCCCAACCCTCCTTCATCTTTCCACGAGCTACATCTGAGGGGCTTGGAGGACAAGGCGCATTTGTGGAATGTTTGCTATTTTGAGAAATTAGTGTTTGAGGTTTCAAAATCACATGGAACCTTATGGCAGAGGGAAAGTTCATACTGACTAATTGATGCTTAAAAACTGGATTTTGGCAGCGAATTTTTCTCAGAATAAGCTTTCAGACTAATTTCACTCGAAATTATTAATATCTTAATTTTTTCCAAAACACTACTTATGCGCCTTGTCCTCCGAGCCCCTCATCTACGCTTCATAGCGCATTATACAACATAACTCATAATTGATTTCAAATTCATGATGTCTTATTAATTAATCCCCTCATCGCAAGGCGAGATTAATTTTGACGGGATCGCCCCGGGACCGACTATCATGTTGGGGGACTGAAGACAATTTATTTCATTTTTCACCTATTGTTTGAGGTGTTCCAGGGATGAAAGATCTACCTACTATAGATGGATGTTTAACAACGTGTTGGGTATTTCATTTTGCAAGCGTACCGAAGTTTGGCTCATTACGTCACCCGGAGCTCATCAACCACCTCGTAGGTATGACTGTTGCTCCCTTATAATGCGTTGTTTCCCTTGCGAAAGAACTTCTCCACATTGCAATGCTGCCGAATTTCCCCTCACAATTTTTATTTTTTTTCATTTTTTATTATTTTTTATTTTCTTTCCAGAACCCCGGGCATCTCTGACTAAGAATTTGACTGATTTTTCTTCTGATTTCATTCAAAACTCAGAAATAATTTGGACTTCAATTGCACAGTTATATTCTATACTCGCGTAATAAATTAAATTTCTTGAGTCGATTTGGCAACCTCGGAATTGAGTTACGTTCCTTCGTGCGAGAAACAACGAATTGTCTATGAGGAAGTGCTGAATCTCCGAAAGTAAAAGTTTCCATCCGTCGCCAAAAGGCCAGTGGAAGGTCTCTTGTCTCTGGGTGGCTCCCTTTATTATTCGAAAAATTAGGTGACGGAAATTAAGAAACAATTGATCAATTTGGTCGCGCTTTTGCGATCGCTTATGACTGAGGAAAACACATAATTCTTTCCGCTGAAATGTTTTTTTTTTTTTTTTTTTTTTTTTTTTTTTTTTTTTTTTAAGGAAGATCCCTTTTTGTGAATGATCACAGATCAATTTCAAATCATCTTTTGGATATAAATAGTTACTCACCACTGCCGCAATGCCAGCGTTGCTTCACATCGAAACTAAAACTGTGAAAATTTAACACTTTATCTACGAAGATGAGCGCACACACGAATCATCATTGGGGAGTTTTCTTCGAGACCAACCGTCGTGAGACGCTGCTAGAAATAAGACTGAAAAGGAAAGAGGAACCTGCAATGGATTTTTCGACCTCAACGGTTCAGGGAACCGAATCAAAATATTTTGACAAGATATGCCTAAAATCCATGTTTCTTCACGATTTCAATGCGTTCAGTGATTCTCGACGATAGACGGGAGCGGGGGAGGTGCTTAAAACCATCCTCCACACCCGCACTCAATTGGACGTATTTCTGCCAAAAGGAACTATGTGCATAATAACGTGAGCCCTGCCATGCATATATTCTTACGGGTCTCAGGTCTCAAGTCTTAATGCACATAATTCCGTTCGGCAGAAATACGTCCAATTGCTATAATGACCGTGACGAATGCGATCACCCGACTCGATTAAGTTTCTGCTCATTATCGCGTGACCGAAATGTGTTAATTGAAAACATGCCTGTCAGTTTAATTTGTTTTTTTTGCACCCCAGAACAGCGAGCGGGCTCGCTGGAGAATTTGAACCACTCGGCGTATTTTTGGTAAGCATCGGAAATGAATTTTTTGCGCTCTACAAATAGAGAGAGAGAAGAAAAATAATTTTTTGCGTTGATTTCTCGGAAGTCATTGACATTTTCAAGTTCTACACTCCGATTGAATTTGAATCTCACACTGTACTGAAGAATGCGGTTGTGGTGAAATGGTACAGTCGGAAGCGAGGTTTTCTTCTATTCGGTAGCCGGATGGATGTGTCTAAGCATTCTCGTAAAAATGATAATTCATGGAGGTGTGAATTTTTATGCACGGCTCAATGCTAAGACATGAAGGGAACAATCATCGAGTCGAAACTCGCAAACCCATCATAGGTAACTGACCCACTCATATGACAACGATTATTATCGATTCTTTCTCTAGCAACCATTTTAGATTCACAGTTCGTTGATTTTAGCTGAACAGTCGAACCGTTCTCTTCTTCCGTGCACACTGAAAAAAAATTGAATTAATTATTGACTGCCGATAATTTTTTTTTCTCCTTACTACGAGCTAAACGATTTCAAGTGCGGTATGACTGAAATATGGACGTATTTATATCAAACAGAACTATGTGCATTGTGACGTGAGCCCTGTTATGCGTGTATTCATATGGGTCTTATGGTTCATGTCTTAATGCACATAGTTCCGTTAGAGAGAAATACGTCCATAAATGTGTGACCGCCCACGAGAAAAAATAACCTTGGGTCGTCAGTGGGGTAGAAACAAGTTAAGTTCTAAAATTTGATTTTGATATTTCAACAAAAACCCTTTACTGTCCTAAAAATCAGCTGAAAGCGCTCTGGTTCATTTGTGTGCTAATAGAGGGCGTGAGGTTGCATTGTGTTGGAGTAATTTTGTGCCCCTGTGCCGGCCTGAACGTGGCAGATTCAAATTTTAATTAGATTTTTCTCTAACTAGGTTATCGCATCAAAAACCTCGATTGCTTCGGCCTGGTTTGAAATTTTCGTCGATCACTGTCCTATGCTCTTTCAGCATTTATAACTTACTTTCTAGTTCTACCGGACCAAGACCCTTCTCATGTGGACGGAAAGACATACATGGATGGATACGTAAGGAAATGTGTACCACCGATTAAGACCTTGCAAATATTCGCCTAGGGTTTTATTTTTAAATGAAAAAATGGTAAAAATGGCTCATAAAATTCTCTGTAACTTTTTGCACCGAAGAAAATATTTTCTCATGAAATTTTAAGGAGATATTCCGAGCTCTCTTGTTTGAGATAAAACATAGTCGGAACGTTAATTTGCGTCGTTTCTCTTACGGAAGCACGTAACCACATTTGAGCTTGCCAGATTTTTCGTACAGATTTCATTTTTACTAGGATTTTGAAAATTCCTGACTGAAATTTCACTAATTTTTTCATGATTATTTGCAAAAATCAGACAAATTTTTGACCAAAATCATGCATGTTTATTCTCGTAAAAAATCGAATCATTCGAGTCATTTTTGCAACTTTGGAGTGGAGTTACGTTCCGCGAGAAACGACGTATCATATATAAAACGCATTTTGCAAAAATGAACAACTATTTACGGTTCATTTTAGAAACAAAGTTGTGCCATCAGTTTCCTTGTGAATATAGGTGATTGTATGTAAGTGCCAAAAAGTATAGTTCCGTGTTACAACCAAAGGCGAGGCGTGAATGATGGATTATCGATATTTCCCCATTTGAAGGTATGGTAAAGAATCGATTATGAAAGTGTTCGTTGCAAACGCCCTGTTCATCGATCCTTTTTCATAGTTTCACATGGTAGATCAGTCGATGTACCGCAAATTACGCCACACCACTGATTACAACACATTTTTCAACTTTAGCAATCGACATGAAAAAACGCACTCAAAATAACACCCTAAAACGAGCCCCTAAAAGCAGCGTCTCCGTTAACGGCGCAACGGGAAGGCGAAGATTAGTTGGGCCGAGAATCTTAAGAAGAGCCGGAAGAGGCCAGAACCTCAGCAAGACTCAGTTCGCCGCCAACGCCAAACGCCCTGTGGGGATAAAGGAGACATCGGTAAGTAAAAGAGGCTCGAGTCGCAGGTCGCGCTTCTGCCTTTTACGGCGTGACATTTCGCCTGCACGGCGCGGGCACCGTCCCGCTGGGCGCCGGCGCGTGCGGTAGCGCTGCACTCTGCACTTGCACCGACTGATCTTCCCGCCCAGCCTCCCTCCGCGACGCAGCGCCCGATCCTCATTCCTCAGTACCGTCGAACAGGGCCGTACGGCGGGTTGCGTGCTGCCCCTCGTCCGTTCACCACGCGCGATCTTCTCGGCCCGACCTGTCTGCTGCGATCTTCGCTCGGTAGAAGCAGTGGATCTACAATCTCGAAATCTGTGGAGGGATGAATGTGGTTTTTATCGAGCTTTCATTCTGACTCGACGGTTTTGTAACTCGACCATCCTGTTCGACAGGGAAATTCCAATTAACCCCACCACACCGTTCGATTTTACTCCGAGTGCCACACTTTTTTCAGAATAGTCAAAAACATTTTATGTTTTGAACATTTGTTGGACATTCCTCGCCTCAGTCTAAATTTCTCGATTGATTTTACCCATCCAAATAGTTACGTATCACTTTGAACACTATCTTATCAAAAACGTAACGTACCTGTTATAAATATTGTATTTTTTATCGAAGAATGTTGTAGTTTTTGGCTTATTGTGACACAAACTTGGAGTAGGAATTTTTCCGGCCGAAATGTTTTCTTAGGAAGTGATCGATCGAGGAAAATATGATTTATGAAATGAAGACGGGGAGCTCTTTTCCTTTTTATGATTTTATTAAAGTGTTCGGTGGTGTTGAGTTCTTTCGAGAAACTTTTCATTCTGGCTCCCAAAACATTGTTCGTGAAGGTTTCTGTCCCTGAATTGGACAAAACTCGGCATCTACTTACCCTGACGCCTTTTTAACTATTGACTCTTTTCTGCACACGTTTGTGCGTTTTGCCAAATTTTTATCAAGGTGTGCGTATCATTAAACGTTTCAAGAGACTCGCTGTGTACCGCAAAACTTAACATTTTGTTTGTTGCGATAATTTTTTATGAATTGGATTTTCTTTTCGTCTCGTTATAAATTACGCTAGTGTTATTCGTTATGATAATGAACATTCTTGTAATCATTTTCACCATCTTTGGATGTTGATTTGAAATTTTTAAACAATCGCTTGATTTTAATTTTATAAAAAAGTGTCAGTGTGTGGTATGAACCTTGTTTTGGATAAAATTTCTTTTCTTTGGGACGGCACATTGGAACTTTGCAGGTGAGCTTCCTTTATATCTCCTGTATTTACATTTTCTATTGGATTGAATCAGGACTGTAACGTACTTTCTGCTTAACAAGTTCATTAATCAGTCAATGCGTTATTCAGATGATCGAATTTTTTCTCTAATTGGAAAATATCCAAGGGAACATTTCTAGCAGCAACTTCTTCATGTTTTTCGATAAAAAGTAAACCCGGAGTGACATTTTGAAATGTTGCAATGGAGATGATTGGTTCTGTAGTTTAGTTACGGACATATTATGAAGTTTCACGCTGTAAGTAACCTTTAAGGCTCTACAAAATAGAGAGACTGTGAAAAAATGCTCTTGATTGGTATTTAAATCAGCTAACCCTTTCATATGCGCTGCGTCAAATTCTTGAACTTTTGTTTCTTTATTTTGCAACTATTTATGGTCTAATGCCATTATTTCTGAAAAAAATAATGGAAAATACACTTTCCTCTAAAAAAAAAATGCACAGAATTAAGTGGGACAACAAATTAGTCCAAATGCGCAGACAATGACCTTATTTTTCGCACAAAGGGTTGGTCTGAAAATTCGAGTAATTTAAAAAAAAAATCATAAACAAACTATAACTTGAAATAAACATTGAAACATGGTGAATAAGTTTTAGGAATCTATTTTCGCTTAAGAATGAAAATGAATTTTTGATGCTGAATTTCGCATGCGTTTTTCTCAAGCAAGAGCTTAGAGCTTTTGGGGCCCGGGATGCTGACAGATAAAAAGGCCCGGACATTGCGGGTTGTATACTCTGTATAATTAAGGGGCCCGGGAAGCTACGGAGCTTCGACACTCCGGCTAATTCGGCCTTGTTCTCAAGTAGCACTCTTTTGGATAATTTTTGGGGGAAATGGAAAATTTCTTTAGCAGAAACAGGTAAAAATTAGTTATATCGTCTGAAATAGTAATTTATTCTGGTTTACTTTGAGGTATAATAAAACAAAATTAATAAATTCTCAGAAACTCGAATACAATATTAAACTTAGGCAATTCCCTGTTTAAATCAGCTAACCAAAGTTTCACAACGATAGCTGATGATAGCTTCTTCCAGCCATGCTGTTGAAATGAATATTTCATTATTCATTTACATCAGAAAATTAAAAAATACGGATGAAAATGCAATATAAGTGTCATTTGCACGTACAGTAAAGGATTTGTGACTTTAGGAGCCAAAAATATGATTGTAGACTCCAAAACTCGTAAATAGAAGTATCTTATTAATACTAAAACATCAATAACGAGAACACGCATGTCTTTGATACGGTGATCGACAGCTACATTGCGAACTTTTCAACATCAGTCCATCTCAAATTAAATCATCCATCCAAGTTTAACCCATAAACCCATATTTTGAGTTTTATTGTTAACGACCTTCATGTTTTATGCATTCCCACAAGTTGAAGACTCAGCGGAAAGATTTCCAGGGTTGGCTGATCCAGTATGCCTACTCATTTTTATCCGTGAGCAATTCTCAGAATGACCCTCTTATTCTTCCTTCGATGAGCTTTAAAGCGTATTCTATCATATGAATGCATTTTTGCAACAGGCCTTTCCGAGCCATTAAAATGAAAGGATCTCTGAAAGAAAGTTTAAAGTAAAGGAGCGTTCGCGGAGGAAATCTCAGTAATTCTGCGGAAAGCGCTTTGCCGAGCAGCTCCTCCCTTGAATGTTTTCTCTTATAAACCGCCAATTTGAGAAGCTTCTCCCGAAATGGAGCTCTTAATGCAAGAGCATGTGAAGCTAATGCTCTTACGATCCTCTAAGACTGCACTTTCCACCTTCTGAGACTTTTTCCCAGAAGAAACGCACCCGTAGCGCCGGCTAAGCCGTTGCACCAGTAAACTCATCACAGAGGTTTTCGGTGGGGTTGCAAAATTTTCTCAATTACAGAATGCATTGGGTAGAAATAATAGCACACTGAGAAAATATTATGGTTATAATTACCATATTAGTGGTGTTTAATATGAAGTCTTAATTAGTAGTTGCCATAACCGATATTAGTGATATTTTTGCCATATCATGGTGATTTTACTACCGCACACTTGTAAAATTACGATTGCTCCAGTAAAAACATCACTTTTATTGGCTATAGCCACTACTAATAAAGAGTGCATATTGAACACCACTGATATAGTAATTATAACTATAGTTTTTTCTCAGTGCACTTTAAGACACGTTGCTCCTTGATAGTTTCTTGGGAGATGTGTTGAATGATTGAAATCGTACAAAATCATACTGAAGGAAATTACGTTTGTAGTTTACATTAAAATCAGTGAATTTAAAATTCCCTTTCACTGTAAGACCAAAGTCACGTAGGTATAATCAACCAACGGGAACTTTTGAACATTGATTTCTCCTTAAAACAGTGGATCGGTTCAACGTATATTTTAAACATTCTGAATGTCCTGTTTTTTTTTCTTTTTTCATTTTTTATTTTTTTTTATTTTTTTATTACAGCCGCATCTCGCACAATTATGTCGATACACTGATATTGATTATTATTATTCATACTTTATCCGAATATATGAATATATATATCATAATTTTGTTTCGATAGAGAAATATTCAGGATGGAATACCGACTCTCCACACCACATGATTTGTGTTCAGTAAACTACCTATGATGACTCCATATGATCTCGAAGTAATTAGAGTTATTTCATAATGGCAATGGTAATGACGTAAAAGTTATGTACAACCCAGGATATAAACAGGTACTTGCCTAGAATCTAACGCGGAGAGATAATCAACTAATCTATGTAAAAAGTGGACTGTCCATGCAATGCATTCTGGGATCGCAGCATATTAAAGCATTAGAGATGGAGACCTGAGGCGAGTGTATTTCCTAATCGTGCGGTTTAGGGTGCACAAAATTATGCATTTACGCGCGCAAGCAAAGCGTTGGAAAATTTTCCGCGGGAGAATTCTTGAGGTTTTCAAAAGTTTCACATAGGTATTTACCGCGTTTATCGATTTAATCTCACTAAAACTTCGAAAGTCCTAATTTCACGACACAAACTGCTAATAAAATCAATGAAACCTCAAAAACTCACCAATATTCAAGGTGAATCAAACTGTTAATTCAAAACTTGCTCATTTAAACACACATAACTTTGAACGATCAGTTTCTAATTTGTTCCCCCTATTTTACGAGTCAATGCAATTTTTATCCAAAACATGTATCGTTAGGATTAATTTCTGCTGTCTATACGTTTAAAAAGGAATGTTAGTCACGTAGTTACATCTTGATCGTATATGCTCCCCAGGACCGGATTTAGGGGGTGGCCACATGGGCCGCGGCCCATGGCGGCAAATTTAGGGGGCTGCAAATGTTGTAATTTTTAAAATGTACACCGAAAAAAATGGTATGCTGTTTTGGCACCTAGGATGTCAAAAATGTGTCTGGTCGTTCTGAGATGCTATCTTGATTGCCCACGCAGTTGAATTTGCATTCGTAGGATGTAAAGTTAACAGCGAGGGCAGTAAAGGCAGCATTTTGGGATCCCCAGACACATTTTTGACATTTTAGGTGCCGAAACAGCATACTATTATTTTCAGTGTAGGAATCAAGGAAAAAATCTGATTCAGTAAAAAAATTACAAACGAGAAAAGGCAAAAAAATCTCTCATTTCCTGAGAGTTAACTCATGGTAATTTCTAATTTGTTCGTCTTTCGGCGATACTAAAGACAGCGCCTTTCATTAGTCTGGTTGAGTGAGAAACCAAACACGCAATCTGGCCTGGAGCGGCGCGACGCAGAGAGCAATGAAGACGAGGATTTGAGATGGAAAGGAGAAGCCCTTGGCGCGCCGATCAGCTTGAAACACATATTAGCGCCTATAAGACTGCATGAATACTTCACGCATTGCGTCAAACGTAATATAGTCAGCAGCGGTTGCCGTGAAACTCATAGCGCCTACAAGACTGCATGAATACTTCACGCATTGCGTCGAAAGCCGTGCGGACAGCAGCGGTAGGCGTGAAACGCATGGCGCCTATGAGACTGTATGGGTACCTCACGCAAACACCTTGCGCCAAACACAGTGCGGTTGGCGCGGAGGCGGAAATTAAAATCATTAAACCACATTCATGTTTATTCTTTCATAATTTTTTCGTTCTTTTTGTATAAACAAAAGGCCTCATCCACACAGAGATAGGTTTACGGAACTGAATTTTCGTGCAAAGTTCCGTGAAATGTTGTCAAAAAGTGTCAGAAAGTGCCAGAAAGTGTTGACAGGGCTTTCACAAAAAATGTGCCCAACATGAGTGAACGCGTGTTCTGCAACCCTTCTCCTCCGGCACCTTCACTTGATGGTTTGTACCTATCGATGTTTCAAAACGAATGAGAAGGGGCGGCAAAATACAGGCGGCTCATGGGCGGCAAGTAGGTAAATCCGGCCCTGATAATTCCGTGGAATTCTAGTACGTATAGTGCAAGATCTCTATCGATCAATATTTCATCTAGTTATAACTGTTTACCAGCCACGAGATAAGCATTATCAGAAATCTAGCACTGGTTACTACACACTACAGTAAAAGCTCGCCAAGTCAAACTACGAGTAAGATGAAATGCGTTCAAGCCGAATTCTTTTTTCGATCCCCAGACACTTCCAAAAGTTAAGAGGAGAGTCGGTAAAGACGAATTGCCGCTTAAGTTGAATTTGTTGTCGGTTCCTAAGCAATTCGACTCAGCAAACTTTCACTGTCGTAGGATTGCCTGGGTATAATACGTGATCAGGAATCTCATAACCGCTACATTCATGTTCTTCCGCGAGTGGCACATTTGTCACTTTAACAGACTGTTATGGATGTAAAGAAGTAGATGGAAAATTTTGCACAAAATTTAGATATTTGGCACTCATCAAGTCAATCCCAATAAAGTCAAACCGAAAAATGCGTGAGGTGACTTAGGTCATATTTATTTGGCCTAAAAATCGTAAATGTCTGGCGAAAGTGCGGAACATATCCATATTATTCGAGT